TGAAAAACAATTCTTTTCATCGGATGCAAAGTTCATACCATTGCTTAGCTTACACACCTTTTAACCCTTCTGCAATTTTTGGACATAATGTTCATACATATATTTGAGCGTTAATGCTGTAGGTGTGAATTACTCTGCTTATAATTGAAGTTCCAAATTAAAAATTGTTTTCTTATGAACAAGATTAAATAAGGCAAATGATCTTAGGCAGATTAATTGTTAAAATCTGCAATTTAATATAGTTTATAACCTATCCATACTTTAATGCATTAGAGATTTCCTCAATAAGATTAAATGGGACTAACCCGAGCTATATTCAACATACAATTCCATATATAACGTTGCGAAAATGTACCTTTTTTGTTTTAATATTGTTCAAAGGGTGGTAATGCCTATGAGATTTCTTATGTCTTCGCATATGCTATTCTAGAGAAAAAATTCTATGAGGACAGAGTGTGGTTAATGCAACCTTTCCTTTATTTGACTTTTGCCCCTTCTAAATGAATTAAATGTGCAGTAACAAATGAATATTCAAGCAGATCGGAGATATACTGGATATTTTATTAAACTCAAAATCTTCAGATGGCAACATGTTAAACTCATTAGAGTTTTGAACAACTTTACTGTATGTACTAATAGAGTTTTGTGGTTCTGGCTTAACTCAAGGTCAATTATGGCAAATTTACTTCCATTTGTTTTTATATCTATTCGAACACTGATAGAGATCTTCTCTATTTTAAATTCCAGCTCTGCATTTAAATTATTGTCAAGGTTTGTTAACTTGGAAATTTCAGCAATTTTTATGTCTAAATGTTCTTCATTAATTGAATTCAAGTAGAGCAGTATTATTCAACAATTATAAATTGCGCTTCATATTTATTTTTTGGTATGTCCTTCACCTGTAAGTGAAAATTTTGTCACTGGATATTGCCATGATGGTTGATATTGTTATCCTTGTAGTTGCTCATTCTCGCACTCTTGAAAATGATATTCTGGTCAGAATGTCGGCATCTTGCGAATTTACTCATGCCTGATACTTGAGTTAACCCTGATAATCTTGAGAAATTTACAATTAGATCCAAGAGTTGCTATATCACCAACAATATATGCATCTGCAGATAGGGAGCTAAAGTTACGGATAATTTCAAGTAGACTCACTTAATAGCGTTGTGTGGGTGTACATGTATAGGAAGAATATGAATATCCTAAACGAGGTGTCAATTTTACAGGTATATCAATTAAAAATGATGTTAAGTCGAAAATTGCCTAAAGAATTGAGAAATAGACCTATCGAAATAAGAGAAGACAAACATAAATTGTGTTGTGCAATATTACAGAATAAGGGTCTCATCATTTAATGTGCAATAACCACATAGGGGAATGGAAAAATTTATGACATATATATGCCCGACGATTGTGTATTTTAAAACAATATTTTAGATGTAACAATACTGTGGAAATGGTTTATTACTAAAGACTATCTACTCATGCAAAATGGATTAGCCAAGTTTGCCACACTTAGTGATCATAACAATATTAATTTATATCATTCTGATTATTATGTGTGCCCCCTTGGATTTTATAATAATAGAATTGCAAAATGATCTTGATACTAATGACTCATATCCAGTATAACTGACTGTAATGTTTATAAATCAGGGACTGAATAACCGATTATTATTGTTTCTTTGTTGAAGCTAAGTATTAATATTTGATACATATACTGCAGATATTTTACTTTTAATGATTTCTCTTTCTTCAGAAATATTCCTATTTTCCTTGTTCATCAAGCCTGTTAATCACCACTACAACAAATGTTGTGCTATCTTTACTTCTGTCACTATGGGATAGTAGATCCTATGATCTTACCATAGTCAATCAGATGTTATAATAAGACTTCTCTGGTATGCCAAACAGTTAATTGAACAAACTCTTTAATTAAGGCTCGATATTGTATTCCATTAATAACTGTTTAAGATAATATACTTTATTTTCTTATTAGGATGTCACAAAAGTTTTTTGGTCAGAGATCTAATGTTAGAAATAAGATAATTAAGGAGCTTTGTAATCCTGTTTGGAGACTTTTTAAATTATTTTCTTGGCATCTTAAACCATATTTCCAATATATTATCTTTTTTTTTTTAGTTCTGAGTTTTATTATTGGATTGATTGTTACANGTGTGCGTGTACATGTATAGGAAGAATATGAATATCCTAAACGAGGTGTCAATTTTACAGGTATATCAATTAAAAATGATGTTAAGTCGAAAAATTGCCTAAAGAATTGAGAAATAGACCTATCGAAATGAGAGAAGACAAAAACATAAATTGTGTTGCGCAATATTACAGAATAAGAGTCTCATCATTTAATGTGCAATAATCACATGGAGGAATTGAAAAATTTATGACATATATATGCCCGACGATTGTGTATTTTAAAACAATATTTTAGATGTAACAATAATGTGGAAATGGTGTATTACTAAAGACTATCTACTCATGCAAAATGGATTAGCCAAGTTTGCCACACTTAGTGATCATAACAATATTAATTTATATCATTCTGATTATTATGTGTGCCCCCTTGGATTTTATAATAATAGAATTGCAAAATGATCTTGATACTAATGACTCATATCCAGTATAACTGACTGTAATGTTTATAAATCAGGGACTGAATAACCGATTATTATTGTTTCTTTGTTGATGCTAAGAATTAATATTTGATACATATACTGCAGATATTTTACTTCTAATGATATCTCTTTCTTCAGAAATATTCCTATTTTCCTTGTTCATCAAGCCTGTTAATCACCACTACAACAAATGTTGTGCTATCTTTACTTCTGTCACTATGGGATAGTAGATCCTATGATCTTACCATAGTCAATCAGATGTTATAATAAGACTTCTCTGGTATGCCAAACAGTTAATTGAACAAACTCTTTAATTAAGGCTCGATATTGTATTCCATTAATAACTGTTTAAGATAATATATTTAATTTTCTTATTAGGATGTCACAAAAGTTTTTTGGTCAGAGATCTAATGTTAGAAATAAGATAATTAAGGAGATCATGATATTGCTAGGAAAGGTGTATATGATAAATTTTGGGTCTAGTCTTATTAGTAACTTACTATTTTTAACTATTATTAGATTATCAAGTTCAGAACAATGAGAATTAAATTAACCTGTAGAAAATATGTTCTTATTTTATATGAAGAAAAAAGTATAAATTCTGAAATGATAAGAGGAGTAAAATAACAGCGCAAAATTTTTTATGTATAATCAACAGAGCTGAGATAACTGGAAATAAATTCTCATTCTAAATGTTGCTAATATTAATTATTATGATGTAAATTATAACTTCAATACCTTTTCGTAATGCTATATGGATAAAACTGCACATTTGGTTAAGGAGAAATGCTCAAAGTTTGAGGCAACTAGGATAATTCAATTATAAAATGAATATGCTGTCTAAAATAAAATCTTACTCAAATTTTACCCCTTTGTAAAATTTATATGCCATTGTTTTTCCCAAAATCATCAAATGCTTCCCTACTGATTAAATTTGATATTATTTTGAATTAAGGCTAAGAGATATGTATTAAAAATCGAAAATATACATTTTTAAAGACTTAAAATGATCAAATTCACAACATAAGTTTACTTAAAGTTGCTTAATATTAAAGATTTGTTATCGGTTTCTAGATTTAAATAATTACTAAATTTCAATCAAAAGTCATATTCCTTAAATCTTTCTAATTATAAATAAAAGAAATTTAAGAAATAGGTTGTTGAATAAGTGAATTTTTTATATTGAAAATTTTTTAAACAAAACTTGAACAGTTTCGCTTTAAACTTAACAAAGATAGGAAACTGATTAATTTTTTATATCATTAGACTAATAAATAACTCATTATTCCTAATATTTCCTAATTTGATAATCTTTTGTCTTATCATCCCAAGTTATCAAATAATCTCCATCAGTAGTCATGTATCAGAGAAAATATTAGTTCCAACCTCAATAGATTATTCAATTATAAGGACACCATTTTATTTTTTCCTTATTGAATTCACATTTTGGCCAAACTTAGTTAAAAGAATCCATTTTGATTTTATATATTATTAAGGATAAAGCCATAATCCAAATCATCTTCTACAGGAATATCCTTTGTCTTGACATACTATTTATTGGAACTTTTCATCTCAAAAACATTCATGTAATTTTTCCAAAAAGGTTAGTATGTGAATGGATAATTATCAATAAAGTTCAATCTATGACCTTTCAAATTTTTGGTAAGAATTAAGTATAAGAGCTTCCCCATCTTTTGGTTCTTAATGTGGAAAAAATTAATATACAGCTTGATACTCACTCTAGATCTGCTTGAAAAATTAATTATCTATTCCCTTAATGGAGAATACTGAAACATTTGAACTCAATATTCTGTCTTGTTTGATCTTTTTAACCGGTTGTTTTGGATAACAATTATTCCCTTACATGTATTTACTTGGAACTCCGTTTATTCTGTGTTGACTTGATTCTACTGTTCTTCTAAATCTTCCAACTTGTTCTTCTTATTCAACTTTCTTTTCAAACTATCTATTTCGACTTTGTTTTAGACTATCCATGATTTTAATTTTGTTCTGAATCAGAGGTGATTGTTTGTTTGGTAGTTGCGATAGATCAAAGTTGATATTAATAAAGGTCGATAAAATTGATCTCTCAAGATATTGCAATATTTCTTATTTATTATAGTTAAGTCCACTTTTAATTATTTTTCCCTTATCTTTCAAATAACCTTAAGAATTTAATGATTTTAAATTAGTAAAAATATCAAGTTCCATAAACAAATTTTACCTTTAAGGATTTTTTGATATTTAAATATATCCTTTTTATGATTGAACATCTAATTTACTAAATTGTTTATTCTCTTGTATCTCAAACTTATTCTAAGAATTTGTCTCATTGATAGTCATAAGAAAATAAATCAATAATAGACTTATTAATTATCGATAAAATAACTTGAATTTCTTCTTTTAAATTAAACCAGAAACCTAATTCTCAATCTAAAACTAAAACAAGGTTACACTTATACATTTAAATATCTATTATTTTGATTCCATTAATCCAAAATTATTCTTTTAAAAATTACTCTGGCTCAAATCAATTTTTGCTGAATTCTTCAAAATTATCACATTCATGGGAATCATTTAATTCTTAAAATAAAGTTGACATTTCAGAGCCCTTATTCATGAGTTGGAAAGGAGGACTATTCAAATATAAAGAGAAAAATTTTAGGTGATTGACAAACAAATTTAATAATTATCTGAAAGAACCAAATTTTAATCAAAATAGAAAATTTTAATTTACCTAATAGTCTTTGATGTTTGTTAGAAAATAAACTATGCAGTAAAACATTTAATTTATTTCAATTTCTCCATTACAATTTCCCTTAATTAAAATGTAATTCCTTCAATCAGTGATAATTAAACATCCATTAGAGTTTTATCATTCATTCAATTAAATCAAGTTCGAAAATTGAAAAATAATATTTGATTTGAGAAACTTTAGCTAGTATGATAATTTGATCAATATATATTTAAGAATTTTTCTGGGAATATTTTCAATTTCCCTTATGTTTATGAAGTTCATAAAATCTAAACTAAATCGCAAGTTTGTAATTGATGATCTGAAGTATTTTTGTCTTGAATATTTAAGGCTAATAAGAAAGGGGATTTTCCACCAAAAAGAGTTAGTTTAAATTAAGCTTATCTCAATAGATTTAACAGAAGTATTATATTGGGAAGTTACTTATTTTAACTTTCATTGTCTGAGAAATAATTAATATTTATCATTTAGAAACAAGTTTCTTTTTGTAAAATTCATTTTAGATGAAATATCCCAAGATAAAAGATTGATAGGCTATTCAAATTAATGAAATCAGTTAAGATCAATAAAGGCGGCACTACTTATAGGGTTTTGAGTTAGTCATAACAATCATATTGAAATAAACCTTCATCTTCAAAGTATTCTTCTCAAAAGTTAAATAAATTCTTAAAAATACTAAAGTAATTTTAATCATTTCCTACAACGCTATAATCGATTAATTGAGGAGGATATGATTCCAAATCTGAATTTTATGTAGTTAAAAATCGTCAAATAAAATTAACAAAAGGTCATTTTTCAATAGAATTTATAAATGAATAACTTTCGAAGAGTCTTTTTAAAGAATTTCAATTGAAGCTGGCATATGATGACAAAGATTCATTTACAAATAAAGTATTATTTGAAAACTAATAATATGGATAATAAAATCTATCAGATAAATAAATGAAATCTGTTAAAATATTTAAACTCATTTTAATCTTAAATTATGTGCTTTATTGTGATTGTTATTAAAATACAAAATGTTAATAATTTCATTAATTAATAATGATATTGCTTATTATTATAATCTTTACAACTCATCAAAACACTTTGATTTATGAGTTTAATGCTACTTCTAACATTTTAGAGGGTAATTTCTTATAATTTATATTTTAAATTAGGATGGGAATATTAGAGTTCTTATCTTTTCAGCACCTATGAAGGCATTCAATATTTTGGATCTCCTAAAATGCATGGTTGTACTATTAGCAGGATCTTTTTAGATCTAGATCCTCATTCTCATATTATAGTGGATGCTCAATTTTTATTGTATTTATTATTCATTATAATAAAAGTATTAATAAAGATTATCAACCTTCTGTTAGTATAGACTCTTAATCACAAAGTTATGAGTTAGTAATTTCACCTTAAAGTTAGATACCTAACAGTGCATAACCTGAATATTTGCGTACTCTTTCTATTACTCGTTAACATAATAGAAGAACTATTTGGATTTAAATTTATTAGCATTTTGGAGGATTAATATCATTGAAATTAAGTATCATTAAATGTAAGTAAGAATGCTCTGGATGCATAGACAATTATCATGCAATTTGTTAATAATGGAAACTGCATTAATATTCATTTAATTAGAAAAACTTCACATATTCCGATGGATGGACTTTTTAATAATCTTAATAGTCTTATTTTGAATGTGGAAACTGCTAATTTTTGTAATTTAAGTAAATTAAATATAAAACTTAACTACCTTCTAATTAGGATGTTTTAATAAGGTTTTTTGTAAGGCCTTCTCCAAGACTGGTTGTAGACTATAAATATGGTCAAAAAACGTTTAACAATCCTTATAGTTAATAAATTGGTAATTAATTTCTTCTATATCAAATAGAAATATTAATCAAAAATCATCCTGATCCTATATTATAACTGAATATTTAAACATTTGGACCAATGGGATTGGTAAGAGATTTTGAAGTATTTTATACTTAGCCAGAAAAAATGTTTTAGAATTTAAATGAAGGTTGTTTAGAATAAATAGATGATAAATGTTTGATTTGTCAAGAAGGATGGATTTTAGATGAATTTCAAGAAAATTGTCATCCAATTTGTGGAGATGGAATCATTCAAGGTTAAGAATAATGCGATGATCTAATATCTAATCAATCTTGCTATCAATGCAAATATTCTTGTATTGAAAATTGTTAAATTTGTTAATTTGGAATTTGTTTATAATGTATAGACGGATTTGTTATTAACGCCAATTTTAATTGTGATCCTTTGTGTGGTGATGGCAATTTGATCCCATATTCAGTTGAATAATGTGAACTGACTGTTAATGGTGTATGGGATGGTTGCTATGATTGTAAATTTATTTCAATTGTTAATTGTAAAACAAACTATTTTTAAATTTGTTTATAGTGTGAAATAGGATTTTTAAATTTAGAAAATGCATGTTTTCCTTATTGTGGAGATAAATTAGTTCTCTAATAATATGAGGATTGTGATGATGGAAATTTTGAACCTTATGATGGTTGTTATTAATGCAAATTTCAATGCATTGAAGAATGCAATATATGTGATCAAGGAAAATGCATTTTAAAATGTGGAGAAGGATACGAGTTTGTTAATAATAATTGTCACTCTGTTTGCGGTGATTATTTTGTAACGAAAGAAGAGGATTGCGATGATGGTAATACTATAGAATTTGATGGTTGCTTTCAATGTAAGTATTCTTGCCCAGAAAATTGTTATGATTGTTTTCAGGGTACTTGCTTAGAGTGCAATGATCAATACTAATTACTAATTTCAAATTAATGCAAATAATAATTAAATTGTGGAGATGGATTGGTTTAGGAAGAAGAGGATTGCGATGATGGTAATTATTATGCAGCCGATGGATGCAAGGATTGTTTAATTGAATAAAATTGGGTTTGCATCACAATTACAAAAGATTCTCCTAGCTAATGCACATTTGTCAAAGCTCCAAGCTTAGTTATTAATTACCTCAATATGACTTAAAATAAATAATATATAAGCATCTAATTTAACTAGTAAGTAAAAATATTCACAACTTAACCCCTATCAAAAACTTTAATTTTTGAATTATAAGATATAAATAAGAAGAACTGGAATAGCAGCTTATATATAGTTTAGGATGTTGGATCATATTTGAGTTTTGGAGAATATATTTTAGAAATAGAAGTTTAATAATTACTAAAATTTAGACCACTCTTGAAAATTTCAGTAAGTCAGAAGGTTGCTAATATAGATAATGCTATTTTGGATGTATTTGAAAAATAAATAACATTGTAATATCCAAATTATCTTGACGAAACACAGAAGGATTATTCTTAAAGCTTGAAACGTCTTAACAAATATTTGATTTATAGTTTATCAGGAATTATTATTATCAGTCTTTTATTAGGAAGTGGGGATTTATTTGTAGAGATTTTGGCAATCCTATAATTTTAGCAATACTTAAGATATATCAATTTATAATTTCCTGAAAATCTAGATATTTATTTTTCCATAAATGACTTATTAACTGT